TTTGCATCAAACTAATAACTCATGACTGACATTAATAGTTTAAAAATTTAATTAAGCAGCACTTTTACAAAAATTTCTAAAGGCACAAAACAAGTATATAAGTTAATAATAACACCTTTGAAATTAATGTTAATTGTTGTCGCGAGAAAAGTGTACCTGGAATCCTATGGTTGCTTTTTTAAATTGAAAATTAGTAAAACAGTCGCGGCATTTGTCTCAACACGAAACAATGTTATCGAATCCCCGTTAGAAGTTTCACAAAATTCATGTTTTCCGTCCACGTGGTGGCGGTAAAGCGATTTTACGACGGTTTCGCGGCGTTTTTACGCGAGCGCCTGGACGATAATCGAGCTATCTCGATTCAAAGGTAGCGTCACTATTTCGTTTTCCAACCAATCAGGCATCAACCGCGCGGTGCGACAAAATTATTACCGATACGTCGGAATGTTTTCACGCTGATAAAACGGTACGTGACAAATTTCATGCAGAACTTGACATTCGTTTCATCGGGACGATATCAAGTTCGCTTTAGATGTCTTAATTGAAAATGCCTCTGACATTCTAGTCGCCCTTATCTTCGATTATCTGTATCGAATCGGTGACTCGATCGAAATTCTATAAAATGAATCTCGAAAGCGTAAATAAAATTTCTTAACAAACGAATTCGCCCCTTTAAGGGTAGATTATGGGATGAAGATTGAACAGAAGAAAATTCAATCCCAGTGGCATACCTCACCATCATTCAACAATTAATGAGATAACTAGTTACTATTTCCACGAAGGCATTCCTACTCCTCTTAAGAAGCCGGTATGGAAGACGAATCTGATACAGGGAACGCAAACGGAGGTTGCATGAAGCGTTCTAATTATCCCGTCATTATCCATCACTTCATAATTAAATAATTTAACAGGAAAAATTCTGAAATGCTGAACAATTAACACGATATTGAAGATAACGGAAAATATACATGAAACAGTAACAACACTCAATGAAAACAGTTCTGATTCATCAAGTAACCATTCTATTCGACTTATTCTAACGACACAAGAACGATCGAGTCGGTGATCCGGTTCGAAAGCCGGATAACTTTTATGATAATCCGCAAATCGCGGCCCCACGAGCCACGTATTGTCCAATTGCCCCGCGTAAATCTCACATAATGGGCCAATAGAAGAAATTTCCGAAGCAAACCGCAGAAGTTTTCCCTCCCCCGTCCGCCGTCCCGCGTTCGCTATTGATTTAAGGGAATTGCGAATCCACGACCGCTACACGCTCGGCTCTCTCAATTTCAATAAGCAATTGTAAGGAACGACGGTCACGATTCCTAGACTAAACTAGACCGAACACGGTCTAGTTTAATGCCCCTGCTTCTTTATATTTCCCCTCTCTCTCTCCTCGTTATCTATGCAACGACGGTCACCTACAATTTAAAAACCATGCGTTACAATCGCGCTACAGTAGGTATCTAGCTACTAAAAACCAAATATAGGTATTCTTAAACGAATTGGTTATTGTTTTTCGTTCGTGAACGAAGGATTTTCCTCGATTCGTGAAAGTGAGCTTCGAGTTCCTCGCTTCTTTTTGTATCGCAATGACGCACGCGAAGATAACTTTGTTCTATATATATGAAACTGCTCCACTTTGTTGAGAATGTTTACCCTGAAAAATGTTGATTAAGCAAGTGAATCCTGGATGCACCAATTCAATGTGATCAAAGGTTCTTCGTACAATTTAACTTTGACACTAACTTAGAGGGAAAAAAAAAACACCTTACAACCAGGAAATTTAAAATATACCTTCCACAACACAATATTCTCTGCTTGTCACAGCTGTTTAACTTATCGGAACAAACTTGCTTCAGCTCCGTTTCCCATCCTATTTATCCCAAGAACACCATCAAATTTCCCGAAAACTCCTTCCTCGAGCAACGCTCTATAAACCGGCTTTGTAACCGTACCGGGTCAACAACTCACCCCCAAAAAAGCCGGAGGAGATCGCGATCTCACCGTGAAGAACGAAAACAAGAAGAGAGGCTGGGGTGAGAGAAAAGGAGCAAGAAGATTAAAAAAACAAAAAGAAATAAAGAGATTTTCGAGGATGATTTACCTCCGTCTCTTGGACTGTTGCGCGTCCGAGTGGGTCTGCTGCATATGATGGGGCGATAGGTTGGGCCCGTAAGACAGAAGCTGACTTCCGACGGTGGGGCAGGCTGGTGGGGGTGGTGGGGGTGGCGGGGCCAATTGGTAGCCCACCGAGGAAGCGGTGGGTATGTAATGCGAAGGGCCCGCTCCCGGGCCCAAACCGACCCCATACCCGCCGCCCCCCGAACCGCCCCCATACATACCACTGCCACCGGGGTACTCTATTTTGCCGATCTTTCTGACCTTCTGTTGGACCACAACAACCGTTCCCGAGCCCTTCGTTCGCCTTCCGCCTCGATTATCTCTTCATCTTGCCCGCTACATCCAGCAACAATGAAAACAGTCCTTCGATTCCAGGTAAAAGAATCTTCCGGCCACTATCACTTCGAGGGGATAGACCTCGATCACTTGGATTATACTTTAAGAAAGATACACGGGGTCTAGTTCATGTTCAGACAAGGGAACAAGTGTGTGTCCGGATCCAATGGTCCTTCCGCTAAGAGTACCTCTTCATCTTCCGCCAGTTAGATTCGATTGAAAAAGGAGGAAATCTTCCCTCGAGTGCAGGCGGACACTTGTTGATTCTAGATAGAAGAATTTTCACTGGTATCAATGTAGTGGTAGTCTGGATGATTGACTTGTGTTTCGCCGGAGATCCAGGGGACTAGTTCATGCTCAAGAACAAGTGTCCTGATCCCTGGTTATCGGGAGATCTTGGGACTCGAGATGAGAAGATTGCAGAAGAATGGCTGAATCTGATCGTTTTCTATGATTGGGGATTGAGCAGTCTGATTTCGCAGTGGTTCAGTAAGCAGACATTCTCTAACTTGAGAATATATTTCCTGTGTTTTTTTTTTAGGATTTCTTAGTTCCTTTGGTTGTTCATTATATCAAAGTTCTTCCCAACTTATTCTACCCGCTACCTTAAGTTCCACCCTGTTGTTTCCCATAAACTGACAAACGGTTCCTTCGAATCGACCTCGTACAATCCCCTATTGGAATCCTGAAACCGTACGTTCACCTTCCTGGGTTATCTCGTCATCTCGTTACCGAGGGTTTACGCGAAGATCTATGCTCGATGAATCTCTGATACTTTACACCCTGTGCACAGCGCCACGCTCCTGCCAGATATTCCAGACCTGTTGGTCGTAGATATCCACGACGAATTTTTCCAACAGATCCGACCAGTATTTACGGCCGACAAGCCGAGGAATTATCAGCGTTTCGTGGACTTTATTTCCATTTTTCCTGGTGTACCCCGAGGGAATGTTAAGAGTCTCTTCAACTAACAATATTTAACGTCACTGGGAAACTACAGGAACTACTCCGAACTTGAAGGAACACGATTCGACGAACTATTTTTCGATATTTTTCACTAGAACTAATTAACACTATCGCGAAAAAAATTTGTAGTTTGGCTATGCCCACACTTTCTGTATCACATGCTTGGGGATGATTTCTGCTATGAATTAACAGACACTGATAGATTCATCTTTCTCTCACACACAGTAATATTCAGAGTTCCATTCCAGGCACAACAAGTCCAACTTCTGTCGCGATAATGACACGTTCGAGGGAACACCGAGGACGCCTATTCGATTGCGTATGCATTGTCCGCGCTTTCGATATTAGCAGTTTCGGTGTCGTTTTGGAAAGTACGGGACACGGTGGATCGCTTTCACGCTGGTGAACCGGGGCTAATAAGACTACGCGACTAATCCAAACGATTGACACTCGTTATTCTACCGATAGTTTCACTTTGTACTTTGATTCCCGTTTCCATCGCGAGTACCAGCATTCTGAGCGAAACTTCTTTATTCTTTGATCGATAGATCATCGATCTTTTTCAAGTTCAAGGATTCTCGAAAATTGAAAATCTTCAAGAAGCTTCCAGATTGATTTAATCGAATGCCTAGATCAACGTCGTCCAACCAGGAACCGAAACTTCAACACGAATTGTCGTTCAACTTATGAAAACTTTCGGTAGACCGGTGCCCGAATTAACGAGCTCCAGGCGTGTACCAATCACGAGGCGAAATTCGAACGATCGATGGAGGGAGGGAGTGTAGATCGCGATCGATCGAGCACGGAATCGTCGAAACGAACAGAACGAACGCGGAAGCACGTTTCTCGGACGGATGGGTCGCCGACTAGTCACCACCCACAACTCGCCAGTGACTGATTCCACCATAGCCGCATAATGTGCCGCCGTGCTATACCCCGCTAAGGACTATCACTTCTCCCACCAGAGAGCCACGGAACAGCCACCGTGTAAAGCATGACTTTTAACTCGGGATGCATCGTCCTCGTTGTGCACGCTATGTGCCCACGAGGACGACCACGCTACCGCGAACGAGTTCGCCAACCTGGTCCACGGAAAATCCACGCAAAAGATTCTTCTAAATGTTTTTGTTTATCTATAATTTTTTGAAAATTTGAATAACATGAATCTACTGTTGTTCGCGGGACCGACTATAAGTATTTCTGGGAATTGATGCTTTTTTCTTTGTAATTACTCCGAGCTGTGGGGTGTATATTACAGAGAAATTTGTAATTAAAAAATTAGGTACTGTTATAGTAGACTGGTCCTATTGTTTAGCAGCTTTGTAAACTGTTTCATTTTCGTTTTACTTATGTAGATATATTAGTTAATCCTATAGATTTCACTATATTGTATATTGCAAAAACTCTGTAGTATTAGATGCAGTTCAGTTCTTAATAAAATATGATAAAGTCTCATAAACTTTGCAGTATCTATATATAGTAGAATAAACACACATAATTATACATGAACAACAATTTTATACACATTGAAGGAAATATGAAAATAGAATGAATTAATTTACAATATGACTTACCCAATGTGTGCTATGCCAGGACTACGCTTCTGTGTCATTTTACTGGGGTCACTCCCTATAACAACACCAAAAATTATGAAACTTAAGTGAAACTTTCAAGTGTCCAGGATTCTGAGAAATTATATAGGAATTCATATTATAATCAAGTCTACTTGCTGAACTATATACAAAATTCTACAAATAATTTTAATTGTTATCATTCCAAAACAATGTACATAACATTCAACGAATATTAATACATCTATGTACACTTTTTTAATGAGAACTGCTTACCTAATATATTTCATGTTATAAAGTTTCTTTTAGATCAATCTATTTGTGCCTTCACAGAGTACATTGATACATTATATCCTCACATGCTTCAGTCTGGTAGCTCAAAATTTTGTAAATAAAACACTGTATACGTATAAACGAACAGCAGAACCAAAGAAGAACAAATTCATTCATACTAACCAAGCAATGCATTTACATGTCAAATATACAGAACAATTCAGGGGAATGCTTGTATTTTATGATAGAAAAGTGTCCCACTTAGAGAGAAAAGCATCAACGCTGAAAAACTTATTTAAAGCTTATACACATTTGCCCAATTAGTGAAATAATAATAATGAATCAAGTAGAAATACTATCACTGAGACTTTCAAATGCAACTTCTGTATGGATTAATTGACTCCATCAGGAAAATGCTTTCAATGTCAAACAGGTTCGATATTTACCTGGTATAGAATGGGTGATCGTGGATACAGTGAACATTCAGACGGAATTTCTTCGTCACACTATTAAACACAAAAACAATCAAACAGCCAGTCCAACTTTCACGCGCACCCTTCGCGGCTGGTACACCTCGCTAACATCAAAACTGGGTGTTTACACTCGGCAGTCGCGCCATTTTGAAATTTTTACTCAGGATTTTATTTTTCCTCGAGCATGAGAGTCGAAATTGCCTTGGTTACAACGCGCTCTGTTGGACGACAACCTGAAACGAATGGCGCAGCAAATACAGGGTGCACAAAAAATCCCTATCCTATGAGTAAAACAGTTACACTTCAATAAAATATCTTCAATTCGTACTTACTACCTTTACGTCACTCAATTCTTCTATTCATACTTAAAACTATATATATAGTAAAATATAATTATTGCTCCCTTAACTCATGTTAGCAAAACATGTCAGGGAGTTAGGAACACCCTCTATATGAACAACAAATTGATATTTGTTGAATATATGTAGAATTTGTTTTCCTGTCTGCAGACAAATATTCTTGTATAAAATGTTTTCCTGTCAGCAAAGTAATAACTATAACTACAATAAATATAACTAGTTCAAGCAAAGTATTCTGTACCTTATTGTTTTATAATATCGAGTCAGTGTTTCTATTGAACATATCGTGTATACTACATTTTGTTCTCGGAAGAGAGTACTCGAAGAGGACAATTAAGTCTATTAATGCGTATAAGCAGTAACTGAGTTAATTGAAACGGTAATTAATTGGAAAATATCTTTTTAAACGTTAATAACGGAAAGATTATGTGATTAAAGAGGTGTCGGTGGCGCCATCTGCGAGAATTTTTATTGAGTCATTGGGTATAAAGTTTGAACTTAGACTCGTAAGCTATTCATTAAAATTTGTACACACATGAAAACTGTCCATTATTTTTGTAAACATTTGAGAAGAAAAAAGAATTTCTCATTGCTATTTGCGTATTGTTATTTTATAAAATAATTACGGACAGATGCATATTCCTGATTACCAAATAGGATAAATAAATTTTCTTCCCATGAATTTCATTTCTTCAGATAAGGGCAAGATGTATAGTTGAACATAATAAATAAACTTTGATACGATTATTTCATACTCAGTATACTAAAAATATTTACTAAAACTTAACGAGTTTGAATCTCAAACACAGTGAACAAATTCTTGAGTTTCAATTTCCTCAAACTAGTTCATAGACATCTACATTCGCATAATGATTCGAAGTCTAATTATGAATCGTGGGTAAGAGTATAGCGAGAGATAGGGCTGAAAAATTAAATGCAATTACAACTATTATCGAGCGTTTAATAAATTCACCGAAACAGTATTAAATTAGGATTAAATCGCTTTCATGCGAACGATTCACCGTCATTTGAAATGCGACGCCGTTGCGCCGGTATACCTGTATCTGGCCCGTATCTACTACGCAACTTCCGCTAACTCGCTGCTGAGCAAAATGGACGCCTTTGTGTCTGTTTTCTTCGTATTCACACTATAAATACTGTTTTCCCCGCGATGCACCACCTTTGACATGGCGATGTTTACGCGGTGTCGCGAAAGACGTGAGTGAAAATCGCACGGTGCCGGCGAGCGAAGCGCGTTCACGAGTGATCGAGTAGGAAACGTGTCCAACCAAATAGGCCAGAACCACGGATGACAATTGAGTGAATATCTTCACGACGAGACGTTTTGCTAGCAGATTCCGCACGGTGGGACCGTTTGTTTTGGCGGATACGTGAGATTTCGTTGTTCTTCGTACACTGAACTGTCCGGGGATCTTCGATTACAATACGCCTCCCGCCAAAATTCCATTCACTGCTCACATTCTGCAGTATAAATAATCGTTCCGCGTAGCTGGGTAAGGCAACTGACACGAAACTTCGAACGAAAGCGTTTCTATTCCGTTGATGTCACACAGAATCGTTTCCATTTCTCTCACTGACCATCGCGATTCTATTATTTAGGAGAATTCCATTCACAAGGGAGGTTTCCAGCCTGTAGCATCCAATTCTCAGACCATGTTATCATACGTATGATGTTGGATGGTAGATATCCTACGAGTGAAGGTAATATCAGCTTTATTGTGACCTAGTGATACTACTGATGTACGTTGCAAGTGCCTTTTATATGAAATTATGTGAATCAGTGACTGGAAGGATAGAGTGTTGTTAAAGGAGCATGATTTGTATTAGAAAACTATGGTTTTGTTGACATTGTGCATACGATGCGTATCTTTAAACGATTATTTGGTTTTCGTTACGTTTAAAAGATCTTCTATGGGAAGTGTTATGTTCATCAAGTTAATGTGCCTATAAATAGATCTGCGAAAAATAGTTGTAATAGTTTTGAGAATTGTTGCTCCAATTTGATAATAGAATATTTGTTGTGATATAGCATAGATATACATGTATATAGATATACGTATATATACACATATAATGATCATAGTAAATCATCATTTAGGAATACTGTGAATGAAATAATGTTATATTTTGCACATAATTGAAATATCACATAATTCTGAGAAACTTTGGATATTAATTATTATCATTTTTTTTCAAGGGATTTGAAAAAGATTATATCAAATTGGTATAACCTTCATATAATGAGTAAAATGTTTTTAATCCATTACATAGTATTTTAATGTGAAATATCAATACTATCATTGATATTTAATGTAATTTTTTACTGTTATAAGCAATTATTGTTAAAAATTTATGAAAAACTTATATTTTTTAAAAGTATGTCACTAATTTGATACTGCCTAGATGTGCGTGTAAATAAATTTTTCCTTAGAAAAAATATTAATTTAATATTTTTATTAGAGTTTATGTGAAGTACATTAATATTTAATATTTTGTTTACATTTATTATATGCAGTTATGTTAACACAATATTTTACATTTCAGGACAGGAAATTACAACTAACAATGGATCGTTTATTGGAGGATCCTCGAGCTTCATCAAAATTTGGTTGATATATTCTGATGCACCATGGGAACTTAAAAGAGACTTTGTTAAGTTCCCGGTACATGCCTTAGTGCTAGTGTTCTTTAATAAGCATTAGATACAATTCTGTTCTACAGTGAAACAATTCAGATGTTGGTATGTCCTGAAAATTCATGTGCAAAAAGTTTAACAATGGTTTCTTTAAACATTTGTGAAAACAGTGCATTTAGATATGTTCTGTTGATTTATATTTATCATATACTGTGAACAGAACTTTTCTAATATGTCAGTGCAGTGTTCGTTACGTTGGATAATTCTATGAACCTCAGAGTACATATAAGGACACTGGACCTAATTTTAATAATATTTTTTGTCCAGGCTGTAATGCCAGAACAAATCAAATTCAAGATGAACGGGGTTATACCGAGTGTGCCAATCACAACTCTCGCTGGTATCGCGAGTCTTACCGACTTGTTGCCTGAAATGCCCCTTCCAACACCGCTGCCACAGACATTGACTAACAAATCCCTTTTGTTTCATCCAAGAGTGGCAGAAGAAGCACAAATATTACTGAGTGTCCGTAACGAGAACTTGGTGCCCCAGTTAATACTGTCTCTATCGCAAACATCGTCCGATCATATAGAACTGAAAGACAATTATGCGAATACTGAGCAGCCTTTGGAAGCTGAGCAAAATACTCCAGAGTTACTTAAGGCAATTCTACAAATAAATCCGCACGTATTTAAGGGTCCTCAGTATAATTCACCAAGAAATTGGCCCCAAGGAACACCTGTGATGCACAGCAATCAAACATCTGCTAACTACGGACGGTTTTCCCCATCGTATTCGAGTTCTTCAGGGTCAAGGCAAACGCCGCAAGGTAGTCCAGCTCATCCTGCCGCTGCTAGAACAGTACTTCCCCCGCCTACCGGCATAAATCCCTTACCTAATATGACACCGCAACCAAATATGTATTCTCCAGCACATATGAGTTCTCCTGGTACACCATTAACAACTCTTGGCAATGTAACACCGCAACACCACAATATGGCTGGTATGACACCTCAACACAATATGCACATGGCATCTCCTATGCGTGCTAACATGCCTATGCAGCAACATCAAACTATTAATATGCAGCAAAATATGTATGATCCTATGACAAATCAACAAGTACATCATCCGTTAGGAACTCATCAACCAATGGACATAGACAGTACAGTGCAAGAGAATCAACAGTTTTTGCTAGATCCGGTCACTGGTCTTCCTGATATTGATTTGCCAATCGAGAATATGGAAACAAAAGAAACCATCGATAATACGACGCAGCACTTACTGCCAACAACGCAAACTACATCTTATCCAAGCATGGAAACTGGAGATATTGTCAATACTTTGAACAGTAATACACCGCCAATGATACAACATCAACAGAACAACAATTCGGAAAAGGGATTGAAGATACCTGTCCCTGTACCTGAAAAATTGAAAGAGCCTGTTGTTATGTTAGACAGATTGTCCTTAGCAGACCAAGCTCTGATGCAAAAGAGTTTAGCTGCGTTCGCCGAGAAATCGCCGAGTCGGGCTGCGAAAATGGGAATTTCTAATCGGGAGGAGGTCAAATCGGAATCAGAAAGTGAAGAGGAAATAGGTAAGAGCAACAAATATTTTAAAGCGCGTGCGAAAGAACGCCAGGTCCAAAGGGAGAAAGAGAAAGCAGAGAGGAAGAAAGGTGAAGATAAGACGCGTAGGAGAAGAAGGGTATTGGATGATGATGACGAGGAGGAGGATAAGAAGGAACAGCTTTCACCCACAAAACCAAAAATAAGGAAAATTGAAAAGAAACTCGTCCCGGTACTAGCGAAACTCAGCGTGGAGGAGCTGATGGAAACTAATACGTACCAACGTTTCAATACAACCATAGAAACAATATTTGAGAACACAGAAGATGTTGCAACCAACGCAGAATTGGACGATGATGGTGATGTGCCCCCTGAATTGTTAATTCCTAAATATCAGTTACATGATTTATGCACAGAAGCAGCCAAATTAAAAGCATTAGGGGCAATGGAATCTATTCCTGCAGACAGATTAGTTAGATTATTGAATATTTTGGAGAAAAATATTCGTGATGGAGCTAAAGTATCTCCGCTTGCGGATCCGGATGATGACGTTGACGAAAGTCGGTTGTGGATGCAATTAGCTATGGAGAGAGTGCAACGTGCTGTAGATGCATCTTTAATTGCATTGCATATTATGACGTCTAATAACATGCCAAAAATGGTTTACCTAGAGGACGTGATTGACAGAATAGTACTTTTTATGAAATTTCAGTTACAAAATACTATTTATCCCTCTTTTGATCCTGTTTATAAAATAGATACGAAAAATAAGACTGACAGTTATAATTCTAGTGGTCGTAAAAAAAGAGGTCATATGAAAGAGGTTCGTCAGAAAAGTATTCTTCAGGTTTATAATAAAATGCATGAACTTGTTGGCCTTCTTGCAGAATTATTGAATATACAGGTTTTAACGGACACGAGTGTTTTACATGCATCTACACTAGGCGTTGCACCCTTTTTCGTCGAGTCTGTTAGTGATCTTCAGTTAAGCGCTTTAAAACTTGTCACTGTTATATTCACGAAATACGAAAAACATAGGAGATTATTGTTGGATGATATATTAGCATCTATAGCCCGGCTTCCGAGCAGCAAAAGAAGTCTGAGGACATACAGATTAAACTCTGAGGATCATATACAAATGTTAACGGCATTAGTTTTACAGCTTATCCAATGCGTGGTTGTATTGTCAGACAATATAATTCCACAACAAAAGAAGTCTCAGGAGGACGAAGATAAGAAAGAGGAAAAAAAATTGAATAATATTGACGCGGACGTATTAATCATTAACAAATACGAAACAGCTACTAGAATAGCAGGAAATTTTTTAAATGTATTCCTGAATAAGTGCGGTAGTAAAGGTGAAGAAATTGATTATAGACCACTATTCGAAAACTTCGTTCAAGATTTGTTAGCTACCGTGAACAAGCCGGAATGGCCAGCAGCGGAATTGCTCTTGAGCTTACTTGGTAATTTACTGGTAGGGCATTTCTCTAACAAAAGTTCCGATATGGCTCTTCGTGTAGCATCGATTGATTATCTCGGAGTTGTTGCGGCCAGATTGCGAAAGGATGCAGTTAGTTCCCAATGTAAATTATCCACCATCGATCAAATTATCAAGGATATAAAGATAGAACAGCAGAAGGACTCCGATTACGATCAAGTAAACGACAAAGAGATCGCGGGTTTAAGCGAAGATGAGGAAAGGACAGTTTTTTTACAGAAGGTACTCTTGGATTATCTAGCTGTAAATGGAACGAAGGATTCTCCGTTGGGTTATGCTCGTCACTTCTACTTGGCGCAATGGTATAGAGATTGTGCAGTGGAGAAATCCAAAGTTGGACAAGCGAAGAACAGTCCCAGTAAGAAGATGCACAAAAAACGGGTGAAAAAGAAAAATAAACACCACTCTAGCGACCAGGAGTCTGAATCCGAACTCGAGGAAGTAGATCCAGATGAAAATGACAATAACGAGCAGAAGAATTCAGAAGCTTACAGGATCATAGAGGAAAAGAAGAAGTACATTATAAGTAGAATAAGGCCGTATAGTACAGGAACGAAGCCAGATATCCTTCAGACATACATTGATTACAATTCGGCAGAATTGATATCGCAATACCTGGCCTCAAAGAGGCCGTTTTCTCAAAGTTTTGATAGATACCTCAAGCAGATCCTCCATGTGTTAACCGAATCGTCGATAGCAATTAGAACAAAGGCCATGAAGTGTTTAACGATGATCGTTGAAGCCGACCCCAGTGTATTGGCGAGAGTGGACATGCAGCTGGGCGTAAAACATTCGTTCTTAGATCATGCTACATCTGTAAGAGAAGCAGCTGTCGACTTGGTAGGGAAATTTGTACTAAGTAGGCCAGAATTAATAGATAAATATTACGATATGCTGTCAGCCAGGATCCTAGATACTGGCGTAAGCGTTCGGAAACGCGTGATCAAAATTTTAAAGGATATCTGTATGGAGTGTCCAGACTTCCCTAAGATACCGGAGATCTGCGTGAAAATGATCAGGAGAGTCAACGACGAGGAAGGCATTAGGAAATTAGTTATGGAGGTGTTTCAGAACATGTGGTTCACTCCTGTCAGAGAGCGTCCTACCTTGGATTCCGAGTCGCTGTTGAGGAAAGTCATGAACATAACGGACGTCGTGGCAGCTAGCAAAGACATGGGCCTTGAATGGTTTGAACAGCTGCTGGTAAGTTTGTTCAAACCGAAGGAGGACAAAGACGATAGTACAAAAATGCAAACCGAGCCTCCGAAGGCGTTGTTGACTGCGTGCAAGCAGATTGTTGATTGCCTGATCGAGAACGTTCTTCGACTAGAGGAAACGAATTTGGAAGAGGCCGAGAAGTCCGAGAAAAAGGGATCCTCGCAGAGGCTGGTCGCCTGTTTGACGACGCTCTATTTGTTTGCTAAAATACGGCCGCAGTTGTTGGTCAATCACGCGATCACGTTACAGCCTTATTTAAGTTTAAAATGTCAAACGCAGGGGGATTACCAAATTATCAGCAGCGTGGCGCATACCCTGGAACTGGTGGTGCCACTGATGGAGCATCCCAGCGAGACTTTTTTAGCGCAGCTGGAGGAGGATTCTGTAAAATTGATCTTGCAGCACGACAGGTCTGTCGTCGCCAGCTGTTTATCGTGCTTAGGTTCTATAGTTAACAACGTAACGAGGAACTTTAAATTAATACGAGACTGCTTTAAGAAATATTACGGACATCTGACCGAGTACAAATCGTTTTACGAGAAAGATCCCACGAACCCTATGCTTTTAAAGTACAGACCGTTCGTTAGAAGAGCGTTGTTTACTGTTGGTCTATTGTTGCGGCATTTTAATTTTACCGATCCCGAGGTCATCGAGGGCTTGGCGGAGAATATAAAGGATCAGGTATTCGAGACACTGAATTACTTTGTGAACCTCGACAATGACGACATTAAACACTTCACACTTTCTGCGATCGGTTCTCTATGCATACGTCATTACGAGTTCATGTTGCTTCCTGAATTGAAGGAATTGTACCATCATCTACTCACGTCGGAGCACGCCCTGGTTCACATGAGGATTCAAGTGTTGAACAACGTCGAGGTGTATCTACAGGAGGAGGACAAGAGGATGATAAAACAGGACATGGAATGGGCGAAGATGTCCAAGCAGGAGAACTTGAAGGAGATGGGAGACGTGTCCTCGGGGATGGCGAGTACCGTTATCCAGTTGTATGTGAAAGAAATCCTGGAAGCGTTTCTGCACGTTAATATAAGCGTACGACATGCCGCCCTCAAGGTTATACAACTGATCCTGGCTCAAGGCTTGGTTCATCCTGTGCAAATTGTCCCCTACCTCATCTGTATGAGCACAGACTGCGAAAAGGCAGTGAGTCACAGCGCGGACAAACAGCTGCAGGACATCGAGAAGAAGTATCCTGGTTTCATTCACATGAAATCTCAGTTGGGCATCAGGCTGAGCTTTCGGTTGCAGAAACTCCTGCAGAACGACATCACGGTAAGGGGCATGCGAGTAAAGGAGGGTGAATTTCCAGGTGCGTTAAACGGATTCCTGTACACCATCCTGAGGAATACGAAGCAGCAAAGGAGGGCGATCGTGTTGTCTTTCCTGAAACAGTTCGACGAGTCCGCCAAGACGAGCTTATCGCAGATGCTGTATCTGGCCGACAATCTGGCATACTTTACATATCAAGTTCAAGACGAACCACTGTTCATCATCCATCACATCGACATCATAATTTCAATGTCCGGCACGAATTTGCTGCAATCGTTCAAGGAGGCGTTACTACCCAAGGAAGGCACCATCCAGTCCCAGCCACAAACTCACCCTCACACGTCCTTTGGCCCCGATGGACTGCCACGACCGGAGCAATTGCTGTCAAGCTTGGAGGATGAGGAGGATGACGAGGAGGACGAGGTGGGCCTGTTGACGAGGTTACCAGGTGACACCACATTGTTAAGGGAGTACATTACCGCGAGTCAAGGGTTTTTGCTTCTCCTCACGTTACGACAGCACCTGAAGGATCTCTATGGTTTCTCCGATCAGAAGATCGGCCAGTACTCACCTACAGAGGCCGCCAAGGTGTACGAGAAAGCTGTGAATCGCAAGAGCAATCTGTTGTTCAAACCAAAGGCTATACTACACAGACTAAAGGAGGGCGTTAGCAACGAGGAGCTGGATGCCGAGGGTAGGAAAAAGCTGGTGAAGGAATACCTGGATTTCAAGCAGTTGATGCTGAAGTTCGATCTTGAGGAGCAGGAAGAGGACGGGAATGACGCCGACACGAGCGGCAAGCAGCTGTCGGAGACCGTGAAGATGGTGAATTCCGAGGTGGATGGAAAACTGGCTGACGCCGGTGTAGCCAGTAACGCCATGGGCAACTATCAGAGCAATATGAACGCGACGATCGAACATCCGAACAACTCTGTAATTTCCGTGGCAGGATCGGGCCCGGTAGCGGTACCCATGCCACCTGTACACACCTCGGTACCGCCCCAGATGCCGCCACGCGTTCCCAAACTCACGATACACGCTCATTCGGAGACGAAGGAGCATCGCAAGCATCGGGCGCACAAAACGGAGAAGGTTAAAAAGCATAAAAAGAAAAAGAGGAGAAGAATCTCCGACAGCAGCGATAGTGGTGAAGACTACAGTGACCCTGACTTTCTAGTGTGAGTGCGGTGGTATCCGCGCCCTGTGTACATATATATACGCTGTGTGTGGGTGTGCGTGCGTGCGTTTAGGGTGCTGCCCTATAAAGTCTATTCAGGCTTCTCCCTTTTCGCGAATCACTTGTACCATCAAGTGCCGGACGCTCTCAAGATGGCGGCGGACTACTTTATCGTTGGAACAGTGAGAGTGGGACACGACACGAGGCGACACTGTGTACAGAGAACGCTGGTGCTCTGCGAGAGTGATGCGAGAGATGCGATGAAAGAGAGAGAGAGAGAAATAGAGCGAGCGTGAGAATGAATGCGATTGATTAAGGAAAAAAAACACAGAATTTTAAATAACGATTTTAGGATTAACCTTGTTGGCTAAGACACACATACACACACACACATGGTGGATGCGCGTCTAAGATTTTTCGGTCCATGTACGTTCGAATCGTCGCGTGACTTGAAGGATGGAACTTGGTTCAGTCACGTTCTATCGTAGATATCGCTTCCTTCTTCTTCTTCTTCTTCTTCTTGCTGCTCCTTTCCATCGTTTTATTGATTCCCCTTCGAGAGACGAGTATTTCTTTTTTTTATTTCGAGTAGCGCAACGAACGGAAAATTTCAGCCGCCGATGTCAAAGAGACAAAATTCGAGAAACGTCCGAGCTTCGAACCAAGTTCCGAAAATTCGTGGAAACCTGAGTACAATAGTTTCATGGTATGCGTTACGACCCGAACAAAAGTTGTCTGTGTAAATAATATTGAATAATAACAGGAACATTGATACGAAATATTAGTTTTTCTTTTTACACGGATAGAGACCAGCGACGATAATTAAATTAATCGATTGAACCGATGGGATTCAGAGAACAGAGAACCTTCGAGCTGCGCGGTGTCGGAGCGCGAGGATTTCGAGTTCGTATACTTTGATAAGATTAAAACCAAGGGAAATAGTTGAAAATTTGTTGGGAAAAGCAAAACTTGAACAGAAACACAAAGAAAATGGCGGATCCGTTAGACTTGCTCCACAGAATGTATAATAGAAAGTGTGTAGTAAAAAGAATAAAACACATTGCCTATGCATTACGAAAGAGGGAGAGAGAAGGGGGGAAAGAGAAAAAAAGAAGTAACGTTGTTTGTAATATCTGTACATACAAATTTCAAGTAAAGTATCTTATTTTCTTACAAACTATATAGCGGTGACATTTAAACGAAAGAATACTTAAAATTTTGTTGTAATATTAAGTATTTATTCAGAATTCATGTTGTCCCAATATAGTTTGCTTTATGCACTCGTCTTTGGTGTATCGAAGGATAAAATAAAACAGAAAAGTATCGTTTTTATACAAGCTTAGGAATAAAATAATGTAGTAATTTACTCTCGACCGGGAAGCAAACGAGAGGAGGGGGAGGTGAAACTGGCAAAACCTGCTGAAACGAAGGAAAAACAGAGAACGAAACAGCGTCGAAAGAACGTATAGATAAGATGGAATAAGTAAATAGACTTTCGAGTCGTGCGGTTATCCGCCATTTTGTTTCCTCCGTGTCCGTGGTGGCTCACCTGCGGCCTAGGATTCGAGTTGTTCAGAACCAGGTATTAGCCCGAAAGATGCGTAAAACGAACGCTTCTATCGTGATTGTGGATCGAACGAACAGCCTGTGATTTTGATACCACAATAATCGGATGTGTCGATCGATCATTTCGTCGCGGTAATATGTCTTTTTTATACGTTTATAGATTGCCATTGATAAGTAACTAAAGTAATTTAAATGTGAACAGCCCGAATCCACGCGGCTGGTGCACAGACACGCGCAAAGAACACATTATGGACCACGAATCGGGTCACACGACCAAATCAGACTCAAATGTTTCACCGTTTGGCGCGTGATTCATCATATCTTAGTTGATTATGAAGTCTATCGATCGTCGTTGCTGTCTTGGACAAGGAGGAAATAAGATTTCAAGATGACCGCGTGATCCAATTGGGGGCTAGTTTCACGATCAAGACGAAAGGCAACGCGTTTTTAATTTTTTTTTTCATTTCACCGCAAGAGTGTTGTCTTACGATCGCTATTGGTTTACGATACGTGCATTTAACTCGTTTGGTCCCGATAGAAATCGGATCGAAAAAAAAACAGCGTTCACGGATCTAGAGGTCAGTCCGCGCAATTTTGTTAACGAACGCAGGCAAGCGAGGTCTAGGTTCTATACGCTTCTTTCGTTTTACGATTAAAAAGTAGAATTTTATTGGGGCTCAGATGTGCATTCATCTATATCACGTCAATAAATCTGGCAGCAAAAACAGTCCAGTGGATTCATTTTATAAGTCTTAAGAGTTAACTATCGCGGTAAATTTCTGAGGATCATTTGATATATTTTTTTCTTTAGATTTTGTTACATTTCTTAATCATAAAGGACTCTTTTTGGTCTAATACTCAAATCATTAGACTGCGGGTAGAAGTAATTTATTTGTCCTGTTAAGAGACTTGGCAGCTTAAACATGAAATAAAAACGTTATTAAACTTCACGTAATGTTTTTATTTTATTATATTTTTTATGCTAGCCTTCTGTAGTCTACCGATTACTGTCCTGAAAATTGTCCATTTCGAGAAGTCTTAAGTATAGGTAGAAACTTCTGACAAAGACAATGGACCATCCTGATCTGATCCTCAGACGTGTTCAGCTCTTAGATTAGCAAAGATCAAACTTTTAAGCCTCTCGATAACTAACATCTTGCACTCCTATCGTCGTATTCCCCTTGTCCGAAAGTAAATACTTCACGCTTATTTTTGTTTTCAATCTAAAAGGAAACGTCGACTCTTCGACGAAACGTAGACCGTAGAAGAGAATGTCTCGCGATCTAGGATCTCAAATCTCTACCGTCCTCAGAATGTGCAATGCTATAAGTTAGAGTTAGAGAAACCATTATCCGCGTGCCCAATCGAATCTCCGCGCGGAAATTCGAAGGAGAGGTCGACGATCGCGTCGTTTTCACCCCCTGACGAGATTATCGTTCACCCTGTCGAGGTCGAGTTGCGTTCGTTACGAACTTGGCGGACTTTTCGATGGATCCCGATCGTTTGATCGGTAATGGTAGCTTGATGCGTGCGAATTGATCGACTCCTTTAGCGACACTTCATGCTACAATACACTTCGGACTTCATTAATTATAAGTAGACTGCGGTCTAACCGTAAGGAATTTGATTTCCTCGTATAAACGACCTACGTTGGTTCCACTATCGATAACGGATCACCCCGTACATCAATAAAATCGATTGCTTCATATGCAACAACCTACTATAATTTAAGAAAAACAAACAAGGATATGGATGTCTGTTGCGCCTCGAGTTTCACGACAGAATGGGAGGGTTTTATCGAAGTGGTGTAGATGAGACACCGTGTCGGGGGTTAGTCAATGACAGAGCAACAAATATTGCGGGGGGGAGGGGGAATTGAAGCACCTAGGGGGGAAGAAGAGAAGGATCTTTAACTGTACAAAATGTTCGCGTGTACATATTTATTATAAATCTGGGTTACAAAGTAGGTCGTATCGTCGTTTCGTTGCATCGAGCGTAAAAAATGAGTGTGTCGGTGAAAATGAGAGGGGAATGAGTAAAAAGGTCGAGTGCGTGCGAACGTGAGGGACACGTTGGAGCGTTTTTCATTAAACACTTTATTGTTCGTTGTAATAAACTTCTAGAAGGTATACATTATAAATTCTAAACAGTTATATATTTCTATGTGCATATATACATATATAGGCCGGTATATATGTATGTATACATTGCGTGAGAGGAAAGGTGAAATACGATCTATGAAGTCTGCGTCGTGAGCCCGCGAATTCGAGTGGATGGACGATGAAATGTGAACGTAAAATTACCTATGAAAAAAAAAATAAATAAGTAAACGATAAAAAAAAGTGAATAGACACCCCGATCGATCGTACTTCAGTACAGTACGGAGAGGCACATTTGTATTATAACATTATACATATATAAATATAAATATAATTGTATCAGCTATGTTTTTTGTATTTGGTAATCTAACGAGAGGGGCAGAGAGCGAGAGAGAGAGAAAGAGCGCGCGCGCGAGAGAGAGAGAGAGAGAGAGAGAGAGAGAGAGAGAGAAAGAGAAGGATATCGAATTCACGAACGAAGAAGGTTAATAGAAAGTATATTATATATTTGAGTAAAGGAATCGAGAATTGGCGTTATCCATGACCAAACGGGAACAATAAACGATCGTTTTTTTACGGGGTTTTGTTTCGTCGACGTTTTGTTTACAGGCTACTCAGGTAACCAGGGAGGGAAAATCGAATTTATAGGTCCATTTAGATGCCCGTGAGAAAACTCCTGGACAAGGTCAATTGCTCGTTTACTCATAACTTATTATGTACATCGTCTGAAGAAACCGGTACGTTCGTAAAGAAAAATAAACACTAAGTATGTATCAATCGGTTTTGTTCATTCCTATTTTCCATCATTGACGGATGAAAAATATTTATGTGTTTGATATTTTTAGGAACTAAATGGTTTTTTTTCGAAACGGTTGCGGAGACTTCGCGGATGTTATGTGAGTACTATCAAGTAAAAAGTCACTCTCTTAAACTGTAAAATGTAATTTATTAATTTATCGCAACGTATAGTAGCACATTACTGGTAAAGAACTAACTGAAAAGCGACAAACTTTGTAGTAGTACCTAGTTTGAATGTTTTCACTTTTTAAGTGAATGTTAATACGTTCTTAAGATCCGTTGATTCTTCGTTTCTCCATCGAATACACCTGTAAGACAGGTGACGTGTGAATAAAAAATTAATAATTTAATTAATTTTTTGGTTACTTACATTTTCGGAATATCATTAATGTATTGTAATTCATTACAATGTTTCGTTGCATTTTCAGCTTTACACTTTTCTCTCCAAACAGTCGTACTATTTAACAAAGTAGAAAAATCACGGATTTTCAAGCAGTCCGACACTTTTGTCGTTGGCATTTCAATTTTATTCGATCTTTGAGAGCGTAATATCCGTTCTTTTCTTCTTTTCGTATATTCTGTATCCTGTCTCCTGCAATAATTGATTCTTATAATAATTACGAAATAGTGACTGAATCACATAATACATACTACCTGAATGCTTTGATTAACGTGCAATCATAGGTACACTTTTCTTTGGAATGTGCACTCGATCCTCTTGATGCACATTCCAAAGCTTTCTTCTGTTTATATTGTTCCAAAGCTTGTTGAACCTTCTCCTTTCGTTTTCTTCTTTGATTTTCTTCGATCTCCCGCTTCAATTTCATTCGAATCTTTAATTGTTCTTCATCCATCTTGTCTTTATTCTCTTTCTCCATCCTCCATTTTTTAATCAATTCTTTCTTCTCACTTTTATTCGATTCGGCACTGTTACTGGACCTTGTTGCCGCCGTTTTGAATATTTTCGACGTTTTTGATATAACTACATTATTATCTTCACCATCTTCTGCTGGAGTATCCTCTTCTACGATATCATTTGTTATAGTTTCATCTGTTTCTTCGGTAGACTTCAATTTGTTCAGTTCTTTCTTCTTCCGCCATTCTTCGACGGCTATTCTCTGCTTTTCACGTAAAGTTTGATAAAGTTTGTACCACGCTTCGTGATTCACTATGGTTTCTACAGATAGATCCGGGCATTTTCTTTGAATAGCAGCAACCAGAGCAGGTACATTTTCGCATTTCTTACGCATTTTTAGAAAGAACAGGTGATCCTCTAAGGTCCAGTTTTCCATGTGCCCTAGTAAAGATTTAAAAATTTAAAGTGAATCTTTTTT